CCGGGTATGTCACATAACCTGCTTTCTGGAATACCCCCCAGCATACATTGTGTTGGCCATGCTGGTCTATGCCGTTTTTTTCAGCAGGGAGTTCAGGCTAAGTGTAAGACTTTTTACAATCCAATTTACAATTACTTCCATAGGCATCCATTTTCATCCGAACCGTTTCAAACCTTTAACGCATCTCATTTTCACACAAAAACACTACTGATACATTACCAGCGTTAACAAGCGGTTCGCCTAAAATCACATTATCAGGAATCCCGTTATCATGATCAATAATCGAATTAGCTTCACTTGTTATTTATAATCACAGTCGTATGTGTGCGGATTGACGCGGGTAATTCCGGAATAAAATAACTGTAAGACTGGGGAACTTTTACGGATCATAGTCCAGATCGCGCCAGGACCTACACGGCTAAAGATTTTAGACGATGCGACCAGCGCAACATGCACTTACTTGAAATTTATTCCTTTCACGGGAAAGTCTGGAAAAGTTCTTATATTCCGAGTGATCAATTCTATCTTCTCGTGGTGCGCTCCGTCAGCCATCGCAGACCCTATAGATGTCCTGGCAGTCCTGCCACCCGCGAATTTTGATTACGTGAAAATGCGGAAGTGCCTACGCAGGCGCAGATGCCAGCGAAGGTGTCCGCGTTTGTGCTGCCTACACAGATGCTAGGAGGTCTGGCATTTGGGATGAACGTGATCGGTATGGGAGTGAGTAAGTCTGTCACAAGGTTTTCATTCCTAGCCACAAGTGAGATGAAATAATGCAGGAAGACACTAATGACAAACCTGTAGCTTCTTGCAAAGGACACTGTGCCAGCTGAGCTCCACCAAGCAGAGCTCTGTGACCAGAATTAAAGGACTTACAAGAGCTTCTCAAAGGGTGCAGGCAAGAACCAGCCCAGCAACAACAGCAGCACCGGCTCCGTGTTGGTGGAAACGAGGCATCTGTGAATGAACCGTACAGCTGCAGCTCTACAGACTACAGCACGGTCGAGCCCCCACACCGTTTAAAAATAATTTATTACTAGTGCTATTAAATTTTATTATCATTGCCCCTACTCTGGTGTGTGCAGTTACACGTTCTTTATTTTGGTAAACATTTACGCTTCCAAATGCACCGCGAGACTTGCACATAAGAGTTTCACTTACCTGCGTCCTACCAAGTGTTAAGCGATGTGACATAATGGATTTGGCGTAGAATTTGCATATTCCGCCCATATTCCCGTTTGCATTTAGGTGAACTGAGTACCACGCTTATCCCTATACTGTGTGTGCGTTCTGATGCACTGGTGTACACCTGCCGCGTGCCCTGGGACGCCCGAAACAGGCCCCAGGCTCACTGTGACCCCATTCTGAATAAGCCGTTGGAAGATGGAAGGATGATTGTAAGATTGAAAAGATAAAATTTTATTTTTAAGAGGAATTATTTTAAAAGTTTACCTAGACAGAAAAGCATGAAGACCATTCAAGCAGCATTATCTAGAAAAAAACTGAATAATTTACTTTAAAAATATAAAATTTAAGTTCATACTTGGAATTTGAATTGTTTCCATCATGAAATCCCTGAAATATCTCTTCATTATTATTGCTTTTGTGTATAGTGTAAGAGTCATTGCCAGCCCATCCTAAAATGCATTCCAGATTTTACACAATAAAAAATGTTCCTTCATAAGCAAATAGAATGATTGTAAGTTTAAATAAAAGAACCAAATCTTTGATCATCAGTGTGAAAAAATGTATGTATCCAGGGTAGGTGCTGAACGGCCATTTTTGCCACATTATTCAAAAGCAGTTCAGTGAGGCCAGTGACACTTCCAGGGCTCTGACTTCGGGCCTTTCAGGCACTTTGCCAGCTTCTCACATCCAGGTGGGGCCCAGTTCTGCAACAAGAAGCACAACATTACGTACTGCGAAATGCTGCAAGGACGGGCTCAGACTAACAGCCTTTGTTCGGTAGGCCTTTCCCACGAGGCACCGCTTGGGGGCACTGTTGCTGCACAAAGATACTTGCATCGCAAACGCACACCCCGTACTGATATCGTAAAATATAATTTCGCTTCATCTTTTTGATAAACACATCCAATGAAACAGTACTTAATTATGGTGCAGGCAGTTAAAATCTTGCAAACACCTCAGCAACAGGAGGTCCTGAGACCCAGGGGGAAGATCAGTCATTAGATTAGCACACAATAAGACTCTTTAATACAAGAGTGAAAAAATAGTGACAACTAACTAAAGGGCACACATTCTGGACTAGGACAGAAAGCATTCAGCTTGCATGTTTGCAGATCCACGCGGGACATCCACACCCTTGGAAACCGTATGCAGAGAAATTATGCAAATTTTTAAATGGTGCAAGTATGTATCATTGTAGAAGTGCACTGAATTCTTGCAGGGCGCCAATTTTTCCTGTACTCCATGACTTGCTGAAGAAAAAGACATTTGCACTTATATCAGATGGGGTTGAGGGTAAATGTGGGTGCAGAGAGAGTTGAGGATAAAGTGAGAATTGTGCTGGAGGGGGTGACTGTGGGGGGTGTGTGTGTGTGTGTGTGTGTGTGATCGAGGTATACTTTACATTGTGGAAATCAAATGTCCCCACAATAGGATTAGGGTTTTTGCCCATAGAAGGGAATGGACGGTCCCCACGAAGATATAAGACCATATGTCTGTGTGTGTGTGTGTGTGTGTGGCACACAGCGCCCCCTCTCCTCACCATGACCGCCAGGTCACACATGTTGAGCTGAGGTACTCCAGGCAGCAGATGCTTCTGGTGCTGTTCCAGCACTGGGGTAATTTGCTGTAGCGCAGTCTGGTACTCCGGGCTCAGGACGCTGTGGTGGGGGACAAAAAGGGAGCCAATCAGAGGCCTGGGACTCATTCACACCCGGACACACAGTCTGACACGTGCGGAAATGCAGATCTTCAGCGTGCGAGTGCAAGCGGCGGTGTGTGAAGATGGAGCGAATGGTCGTGCGAGACGGCTCTTTGACTGGCGTGCGACAAAGAAGAAATTGAGACTCGCGGCAAAATGGGAGCCAAAGAGGATGGTGTCACAAGGCTTCTGGTAAGCGACCTGTAACGTGTCATAGCTTATGACAGAGCCAAAGATCGTAGAGAAGCACCTTCCACGTAGAACAAGACCTTCACCGGGACAGTGGCCCACCATCTACGCTGATTACTTATAGCTTGTTTTTTGTCTTTTTTTGATGGTAATTCAACATCATTGACAATCTGTGACCAGCTCACAGAAAACACACACGAATCCCTGTGGGGGACTCTTTCCAGGGAAGGGAGTCCCTGAATCAGGCTCGCTGGGCTGCTTTTTTCCCCTCCCCCATGTGCAATTACGTGTCGAGGGGTCCATCGAGCAGGCCACAGCTGGGTTTGGCGTGCGGTGGCCGGGCGAATCGAAGGTACGCTGCCGGTAATGGGACCTTCAGGGCTTGTGCGTGCGTGTGTGCAGTGGAAGGGGCACGACGGGGACAGCGGTGCGCAAGAAAACCTCACTAGTGCAATTATGACCTACAACCTCAGCGGAGACTGCACCTGTGCCAAATCCCATTGGCCGCTCCCCTGATTGGCCTCTGGGGGGGGTGGGCTGGGGGTTTGCGTGTATGAGGTGAAGTGTCAATTAGCGTAAAAACCCCACACCCGTTCCACTCACAACCCCCCCTGTCCTTCCCCCAGTGTCCATCTCCCCTGGGACGGGCACCTTGGATGGATGCCCGCTCTCCCGGTCTTTCTGTCACCCAGCACTCCTGGAAATTTTTACTTTTCTGTTCTGCGAATTTAATAACCGCACCTCGCATGGTGCAAGCCCAGCATTGTGCTGTGTGCTGTGCGTAACTCTCATTATGTACATTATGTTGGTAATAATACAATAATACAAACCACTCATTAATTATTCTACTGATAGTGAACAAAACGACTACATTTATCCAATTACGAATTTAAAAAAGTGTGAAAAAAAAACTGGTAAGTGCTTCCTATTCATTAAACACAAAAGGCAGACATTTAATCAAATAGGTGTCCTGTTTCTATGTAAACCTTATATGCATAGTTATTCAAGAATGAAACTCTTCTAAATTTAAACTCCATAATTGTACAGATTGTATACACAATAAATAATTGCTATACAACCCACACTGTTACGTACCCTTATATACCCACCTAACTTTCAGATTCTCTTCTTTAATTGAAGGCAGAATTACTTGTACGTAGCCTTGCATATTTCAACTATCAATGCTGAAATTTATGTACAACTCATATACAAAAGCTTGCTTATTTATACACAAAACTCACTGTCTCCACGGTTCATTACTGAGCTGACTTTCTGAACACAGAGAATAGAAATAATAAAGACACTAAATGCAAATGAAGCCTTTTGATTTATATTATATTTTGCCCCTGGGGGGAGGGGGCCACGCTCAGGAGTGGCATTGCACTGATTAGAGATTCATACCCCCAGCAGCGCATCAGACAAGCTCTCTCTCTCTCGCTCTCTCCCAAACACACACACACACACACACACCACACGAACAAAGAGATGCGCACAGAGAAGTCAAAGTATACTGACACGCGTGTCACACACAAAGAGACACTAAATGCCAATCCATGCATTGGGCTCAACAAAAAAAAAGGAAAAAACACAAGGGCATGCAGACACACAGAAGCACAGATAAAAGCACATGAATGCACTGCACACATACGTGCGCACACACACACCCACGCGTGTGCACATTTGACTATGGCCGAGGGAGCAGAGAAATGCCCCCGCGACCCCCTCGAGGAAATTGAGCAATTCACTGAAGTCTATTGATTGGGGGCTGAAGTGTTTGTCCCAGGCAGATGAGGCCTGTGTGCACAGGGCTGCCTACTGCATTAGCCAGGGGCTGCCTGCCATTTCAGCGCTCGTCACACAGTGTCCGAGGAGGAGGAGGAGGAAGAGGAGGAGGAGAGGAAGGCGAGGAGAGAGAGCTGGTCCCCTCTCGTCCCAGTGTGCAGGTGAGACAGGCAAGCTTTCCAGCCCCCAAGGAAAGGGCGATCTACTCAGAGATCTACTGAGAGATCTACTGAGAGATGTTAGCTGCCAGATATAGCATGGACAGTTATCTTTGCTGGATCGCGGAATCATCAAATGACGAACGAGCCGTCACCTGTCAGTCTCGACGGGACTAGGAATCTATGCAATCTGCACGATGATCCGTGCATGCGAGTTGCTTTCGCTCTCTGGCAGGAAACCCGGGGTCTTTAAACAATGCCGGATTTTTCCGGGAGGGTGCGGCCGACTCCCGCGAGGAACCTGTGGGGCCGGGGATGACCGTCGCCACGGCGTCCGGGTGCTAACAGAACTGAAGGCACGTGTGGCAACAGGCCGTACATCATCCAAAGCGGCTCTTTAGGGGCAGGCAGTGAGTAATGGCTCCCACTGGGTCCAGCTGAGCACCCAAGGACCAGAGAGCCAGCAGCGTAACAATGGAACAGCAAGTTGGGGGGGCAGGGGGTGCTATTTATTTTGGGAGGGGGGGGTGTTAATTTTATGTATCACTGGAATGGGAGCTTGGGACCACCCATCTTTTAGTGGTGACAGGAACACAACCTAATCCCGCCTCCCAGCCAAATTTCCGGCACATATTCAGGTGTCAGGCTGCAGGTGAGGGGACCACC